CATACTTTAGGTTTAAAGTTTAGACTTTGTATAAAGGTTGCTGGAAGTAAACCTAATGCAGAAGCACCTTAAACTTAGTGACTCCTGCTTGTATAAATGTTTGATAAAACAACCCTATTGCTCACATGTCTATGAAAACATAAATTTAAGGTACTACAATGTATGAATACATTGTATTTACGTCTAAATTATAGCCCCATGTAGATGAAAATCAGATTATAAAACTGATACAAAGCAAAAACTATAGCAGTGGTCAAAAAACTCAATGCTTCAAAGTCAAATTTCAGAAACCAGTAGTTAACTGGATTAGCAATACATTCATTTTTATATACACTGTGTTTAAGGTATAAAGGTTTAGTTCAACCACCCCTCATTTCTTTGTTTTCCTTGAAAGAACCAGACATGAGCAATCTTGAGCAATCGTTTTCTGGGCTTTCTTAATGTCTTCTTAATGGCACCTTTTTTACTTAAATACTTACTTTTAGTCTAGTCCTTGTACATCAGAAAAGTATTCCTGAAGACTACTTGAAGAAATTATAAGAAAGCTTCCCTAAAAGTGGTTTTGTTAAAAAAATATGGGTGGACCAAAACACTGTTTTGCCTGCATTTTACTCACTAGCTCACTGCATCTATTTCCCATTTACCTAGCAAAATATAAAGAAATGAGGGCTGGCTCAAGACTTTTGCGCAGTACTGTACACTTTGAACATGAGTCTAAATATTTTTGATCCAATGCAAGTGGTTCAGTTTCAAAGGAAAAACTAGCACATCTTTTTGTCTTTCCAATTTTCAGTTGAGCTTCACCGACCTGAAATAAAACTTTTGATCTGCTCATTTACAACACCTTTGTTTTTCAACTCAAACCTGTAAAAGTAAAGACGAAAACTGTTTTTACACTGACTTATCTGTTTCATATCCAGATCTGCAGCTTACAACCTATTGTGTGCTTTGACCTGCACCTTTAATCTGAAGATAGAGGGCCAGCTGCTGGAGACATCAGGTCTCTGCATCCCAGCCAACAATACGCTCTTTATAGTTTCCATCAGCAAAACTCTGGCAGCCAACGAACCTCACCTGACTCTGGAGTTTCTGGAGGAGTGCATCTCAGGCTTCAGCAAGTCTAGTAAGTCTGCTTACCATCATACTGGTTACCATACATAAGCTCTCACATACACTCAGTCATGAAACTGCGTCAGTTTATTATTCAAAGATGTTACCTCTCTAAATGGGAATAGATACATTGTACTCATACCGCCACCAGCTCACCTCACTGAAATGCATAAAGTTTTAAGGTTTTTTGTTTCTTTTTTTACATAACTGTGGTGGGGAGGGGAGTGTTTGGGAATGACAATATGGTTTATGATTTTACGTAGATGCTGAAGTGCACAAAGGTCGCCAACTTTCTGTATAGTCAATCGCTACACACCTCCAAACTTCATGAGGCCTTCAAATTAGCTCAAGAACATTGCACAAAAAGCTTCATGAAATAGGTTTTCATGGCAGAGCAGCTGCATCCAAGCCTTACATCACCAAGTGTAAGGCAAAGCTTTGGATGCAGTGGTGTAAATCACACAGCCACTGGACTCTAGAGCAGTAAACACTTGTTTTAGCAATCCGATCGACGAATCTCGGTTTGGCAGCTCCCAGGAGAAAGATACTGACTGCACTGTGCCAAGTATTAAGTTTGGTGGACGTTGATTGTGGTGTTGTTGTTTTTCAAGAGCTGTGCTCAGGCCCCTAGTTCCAGTAAAAGCAGCTCTTCATTTGTGAGCTTCATTTCATTGATTCAGCATACGAAGACATTTAGGGCATTTTTATGCTCACAACTTTGTGGGAACAGTCTGGTTTGGGGATGGACCTGACTGTGCACCAGGGCACAGAGCAAGCTCGATAAGGACATGGGTGAGTGAGTTTAGTGTGGAAGAACTCGACCTGCATGAACACGGTCCTGATCTCAAAACTATAGAGCACCTTTACAATGAAATGGAGCAGAGACTGTCCATAAACACACTCCTAAACTTTGTGGAAATACTTCCAAGAAGATTTCAAGTTGTTATAGATGCAAAAAGTGGATTGACATCATATTAAACCCTGTGGATTAAGAACGAGATATCACTACTAAAGTAAAGTGAAGTCCTCATCAAGCTTTTAATATTATATATATTACCTCCCTCTGTCCTGTCTGGGACTCTCTCCAGCATTGGTCCCACATTGCTATCTGTCATCAACAGTTCAGTGACACATGGTCATGTTCTATCCTATTTTAAACATGCAGAGGTCACTCCTCCATTGAAGAAACAAAATCTTGAATCCAGCTCTACTAGTAATTATTTTAAGCCTACTTCAATAGGCCATTTAGAAGCAAATTACTAGAAAAAATAGTAGAAAATCAGTTCTGATCTTTTCTATGCAGATGACATATTTTTACCCTTTTCAGTCGGGCTTTCAGAGGCAGCGTTCCACTGAGACCGCTCCTTTGAAGGTCTGTAATGATCTTCTAATGGCTTCTGATGCAGGGAATTGTTCTGTGATCGTTTTGTTTGGTCATAGCGCAGCCTTTGATACCATTGCAAACAAATTCCTACTATAATAAATAACAAATACCTAGGCTTAAAGCTTTAGCTGGTGTTTATCGCTCTGCCAGAGTAAGAAAGCCAGAATGGTTTTCTTCATACTTATCTGTTCTAACAAAGAAGGTCCTATCAGATAAGTTCTCCTCTAACATTTCCTTCCTAACCTGCGGCGTTCCACAGGGTTCAGTTTTGAGTCCACTATTAATTTCTTTCTACATGCTTTCTTTAGCTTATTTAGTCTTTTAGTGACATTTCTTATCCATTGTATGCCAATGACATTCAGCTGTCATTAGCATACAATGGATAAGCTGTCATGTCTTTTAAGACTCATCTACTGGATAGGTTGTCCACCCTAATCCACTACTTAACTCAGATTGGCTCTCTATCTATTACCTTGTTTTAAACACCAACAAGACTGAGACCGTGATTGCAGCTCCTCTTGAACTACATTTTAAAGTCAGTCAGGTTCTTGCTTCTTTCTGTCCTTGGAGTAATATTTGAGTTGCATGTAAAACCTTTGTCTGGTTCCTGTTTCTTTCATTTAAGGTACATTTCTAAATTGCAACATATGGTCTCCTCAGCTGAACTGGAAATTTTCTTTCCTGCATTTGTGTCATCACGTTAGTTTAGTGTAATGCTCTGTTTACCAGCTTGGACAAATCATCCCCTTTTTCACCTCCAAGTTATACAAAGTGCTTCACCCAGACTGCTAACACGTTCTAGCAAGCGTGCTCACATTACTCCTGTTTCATGTTCTCTACATTGGCTCGCAAATAGATTTTAGAATTCATTTTAAAATTCTTGTTTTAGCAACAGAGCACCAAATGGCCAGGCCCCAGATTATTTATCTCAGCTTCTTACAAAATACACTGCTGCTCGTTGTCCACGTTCACAGACTCCGAGGCGGTTGGTTGTTCCCCATACAGAGCCTTTCAGCCTGTGGCACCAAGGCTGTGGATCAGTGTACCACCACAACTGTGTTTGGTTGACTCTGCTGATTCTTTTAAAAAAACATTTCTGTTTAATCCGGCTTTCTGTTCAGAAATGTATTTATTTATTTACTTATTTTAATTGATTCATTTATTTTAAAACCACCTGTTAGCTTTGCTGTATTTTATTAAATATTTTGTATTGTCTATTTTGGCACCTAATATTCTTGTTTATTTAGCCTGTCGTTACCCGATGTCTGTGAAAAGTGCTTAATAAATAAACTTAAGTTCATAAGTGTTTGAAGACAGGACCATTGAATATTTTTGGTAATATAGTGATATATTATTAACATTAAAATAAACCGTAAGCTCAAAGTGCTGCTGTTCTCTTGCAGGCATCGAGCTGAAGCATCTCTGCTTGGAGTACATGACACCCTGGCTGCTCAACCTGGTCCGCTTCTGTAAGCACAATGACGATGCCAAGCGCCAGCGGGTCACTGCCATTTTGGACAAACTCATCACCATGACAATAAATGAAAAACAGATGTATCCCTCTATCCAGGCTAAGATCTGGGGCAGCCTTGGCCAGGTAAGTTTACCCAGCCCCTCAGCAGCTAAATAAGTGCATGTGTCTCTTGGATTCTGGCCTTTTAACCATCTCATCTTCAGATAACAGACCTGCTGGATGTGGTCTTAGACAGCTTTATTAAGACCAGTGCCACAGGAGGCCTGGGTTCCATCAAAGCAGAGGTTATGGCTGATACTGCAGTGGCTCTAGCCTCAGGAAATGTCAAATTGGTCTCCAACAAGGTGAGAGCACATTGGCAACTAATACACACAGAAAATAATCATGTTGAATCATGTTGCAACTGGTGGAGAGGATTTAATGGTATTGATGATGGAAAGTGACTTGGGGTTCTGTTAAACGAGCAGAGCAGTGTGTTTGAGTAAACAACTGATCAATTAAAGCGGTTGTAAAAACTATTGCATTATGTTAAACAGGACAAATCCTACATCGTATTTCATACAAACACATATGCTCATTATCCTATACATTTTAATATACATAAGAAGTGGACGAAATACTTTATTTTCATAAAGTAATTACTTTTCTTTACAGAACTTTCCTTCATTGCCAAATATCAAAATCAGGTGAAAAGGAGAAATTCAGTAATTACATACTGTTCCCACGAGGGGCCATTTCTGTGCTGATTCACATCTATTACAAAAAATATTGAAAGAGTTCTGGAAAAATATAAAAGAATAAA